ACACTATCAAAACTGTGTGTAAACAAACATGATGATCATTGCAGTTCAAGCTTCTTTTTCGGTTGACTCTACTATTCAATGTCACACGTCGGTATTTTTTAATTCTGAAAGGTTTTTCTACCTCTATAAACAAAAGGCTTTTCTGTCATTTTCTTACCTCACAGATCATTTCTTCATCTTCTTTTCGTTCAGGGCTGTTAGGTTCCCGGGTGAACTAAGATCTTTCTCACCTAACGTTTATTTACAAATAAGAAAGATCTCTCTCTTTTTACACAAAAACGCACATATATATAGTAAGCCGTTGCACAATCTTAAGAAACAAAGACTGATGCCCTGATTATGCAATACTTCTTAGAACTGTTCTATCTCGTTGACTAAGGCTAATGCAATAACCTTGAATATATTCTTGCACCACAGTCTTGCGCAATAACCTTGACTAGGATCTTCTCCCTTATGGCACTACTCTAGTGCGTGGCATAACACCTCCCCTATGAAACAAGATGAACTTCCACGTTCATCGGAAACTAAATGCCTTTCAAAGGTCGTTTTGTTGTTCAATGTTCCAGTACTGCCACTACCATTATCATTGAACCTTTGGCGGCCGCGTTCTTCGTACTGTGCTTGAGTCAAATGAGTCGTGGTTTTCTTTACCATTTGTTTTGCTTTTGTTGATTGAGAAATTGTCACTGTTGTTCGATATCTTGTGAATAATCACCAACATGTTAGATACACCTTTCGAACACTGGTTGTAAATCAGCTGTATGAACCTTCCGTTTAATAGCTGTTTCTCGATCTTGTATGATGTAGCTCGGGTGGTGTTCTTGAATGATAATATGCGGACCCGAGTAACGTTCTTCGAATTTTGAAATATGGCTAGGTTTTCGCCATAACACTAAGTCATTTGCTTTATAGATTGGATCGGAACGGTGCAAGTCGAATCGTGCTTTTGTTACTTGTTGTTGAATTTGAATATTTTGTCGTGCCGCTTGATGATACATTTTTAATAACCGCATCATTCTGGGCCAGTAGTCATTTGGTTTTGTCAATGTGAACGTTGGCTGTTTTTGGGCTAGTGGCAACGTTGGTTCTCGGCCAAACATCAATTGAAATGGTGAATACCCGGTTGTGGCATGTTGTCCAGTATTGTATGCGTAAAGAACAGCTGGCAAATATTCGTCCCAATTGTTCAAATTCTCGTCGTACAACTTCGCCAGTTGTGGATGGAATGTTGCATTAAACCGCTCCACTTGACCATTTGTTTGTGGATGGTACGGTGTTGATTTAATATGATCGAAGCCTATCATTGCTGCCACATTTCATTCATTGTTAAAGTGGACTCCTTAATCGGTAATAAGCCGATTTGGCACACCAAATTTAAATATGAATTCTTCAACAAATACTTGAGCAGCTGTTTGGGTCGTGTTGTTGGGTAACGCCTTCGCAACCACGAATTTTGTCAGATAATCGGTTATGACCAGTACGTATTTATTGCCATTTGCTGATTCTTGTCTGGTTGGTCCCCAAAAATCCATCCCAATCAATTCCATCGATCCTTCTGGTGGCATGATCGAATTGAGTTTGCCGGGTGGCTTTGTTCGTTTGATATTGAACTTGGCACATTTCTCGCATGATCCAATATAACTTTCAACTTCTTCACGCATCTTTGGCCAATAACAGCGATCTTTTAATTTCGTCCATGTTCGTCTGGAGCCAAAATGAGCTGCTGTTGGATGGTCATGATAACTCGCCAACTTGTTTATGAACACTTTATGAATGAATAAGTGGATGACTCAGTCGCTTTTCTTTTCTTATTCTTTTAGAGGATCCAGGATGATGACTAGACTATACGGCAAAGGGAAAATAATAATCTTTTTTG